ACTGTTCCAATTGACCCATATTTATTCTTCATGTTCCTGTTCTCACCAAGTCCATAGTTCTCTGTGTTCTTCTCAAGAACGTACTTGGCGAGGACATGAGTCCGTACTTGTGTTCTAGTGAATTGAGAAACGGCCTAACGCTTCCGTACATGGGACATGCGCACCACTGAATATTTTTTTAAGCAAAAAGTCCGGATGAGATTAGGCTGCTGTCATTAAGGATGAATCTTATTTTAAGACTATATGCACATCTTAAACAGGGAGCCTATAAAAGTTTAACTTTTCCTCCTGAAACAGCTGCCACGCTCCATTAATAATAATAAATGTCTCCTTTTGGGCATTGTGTTGTTTTGCAATGTTTGTACTTGAAGCATATGTTTTGTAACCCCAGTAACGGCACCCCATTTTATACAGACCACTTGACCCATAATTAGAGCTAAATTTAAGCGTGTTGTAAAAAAGGGATGGGAGGGAAAAACTTTGAGCCTTTTGAGTCCCCAAGAGCAAGAATATCCTCTGAGCTAAAGTGCAAATAAATAGACAGATAAATGCGGGGCCATGTCACACAGCTGAGCTGTCCAAGACCATGGCTCCCCCCTCATTTTCCCGCTTTACAGATTAAAACCTTTATCAACACAACTCCCTAATAGGCCTCTTTCCTATCTGCTTGATATTTATGATGGATAATGCCCATTTTCCATTTTCGTTTTTTTTCCTCCAATTTTCTTTCCATTCATGATATTGCAGCTTTGAATTATTCTCTGGTGAAATTAATGAGAAAGTAGATTTATGGGTTTCATTTGTTTGTCAATTCCAAAATTAATTGGGTGTTAATTTTAGCCGTCCCCTCATCAGTGCTGCTTCCAAGCATGCGCGCATTACTTTGCATTCATTGGAACCGTTCTCTCCTTCATTGTGGGTCACTAGTTTTGCATACATTAAAATCGCCCCGCGGCTCATTCTCTTGATTACTTCTGGAGTTGCCATGTGTTTGGAAATGTACGCCTTTCCGTTACAATTATGAAAATTCTGCACAGAATGACAGTGCATGTATAATAGCCATTACTTTGGGTTCTTTTATTTAGCTTCAGAATTAAAAAGAAGGTAGACCCTCTTTTTTTTCTCCTCTTGCATTTATTTGAAAAATAAGTGCAGGTGAATAATGCCAGCGCATGGTTTATTTAAAATGGATTTAATTTTACCAGATACGTGTGTTTCTAATTGCCGTCTCAGAAGGGCCTGTAGATGGAGTCTGTGGCTGGCTGCCTCCAGCTCCACTGTATTCCAATTGCTCCCTCTTTGTTTAAGAAAAAAAACCCATTACAGAGGGAGGCTGTGCCAGACTGGAGGGGTGAGTCGGGTCAACATCTGTCTGAGGTGGGAAGGGGGGGGGGCGACTGAAGCCCATCCCATACAACGGGACCTGTGGGACTGACCGAGCTGCGCAGACAGGCTCAAAAGTGTGGGGGCGTTGTGACACACAACTGAACCGGCACAGGCCACAGTGTCAGATGACTCATTCGGTTATGCTTCTTGCTTGTGCCTCTAATGTAATGGAGATGTAAACCGCCGTGCTCTTTAGCTATGAGTTTTGTTTGGGGGCAGATTTTTTATTTTTTTTTTGTGTGTTTGTAAAACCACTTAAAATGATTGTGAGCAGGAAAACTCTTCCTGAGAAAAAGGATTTAAACGACCGGCACTCCTAATCAGACCTTTTTCTTTTCTTTTCATTTTTTTGGAGTCCCATATCCAGATTCTTATCTCACTTGTGCTCGGTAAATATTCTGGTGTGACAAGTTGTCAACCTCAATTTCCTGTCTGTCAGTGTGAGTGTGGGTCCCTGTGGTGCCGGAGGGTGTGGGCCTGTATCTTGCTTAGACCCTGCGCCTGTACCTGAATGCTTCTGACCGCCCCATTACAAGCCTTAAACCCAACTCCATAAATCTGCATTTAGCTCCATTTTCTCTGTCTCACATGATGGAGCCCAGTTTTCTACGGGCATTTATTCTGCTTCATATAAATAATTAATCAGCCAAGTTAATTTGCCTCTGCCTGACTTGGTCAGCTTCATTAACTGTCCTGAAATTGGGAGGCTAGACATGTTTCGCCAAAAAGGCCTTGTGACCAGCACACTATAGCTGTAAATCATTCTGCTGATTTGTGGAATACAGGCGCAGGTTTCCACTGGTGTCACTAGCACTTTTCCCCTGGGATGCACAGGAAGTGTGGGAGAGGGGGCAGCATGTCTGTCTGGCTTTTTGTGTATCCAAAACAGATCAGAGAATGTAACGGATATCGCTGTATTCTCTCATAACCATTTTTACATAATGCATGGTGTAATGCTTGAAACTACACAACCAGTTTATCTGTTATCCGCTGGAGTTAGTTATTAAATTATAACGACAACATTTTTTCCCTACTCAAGGGTTATTTTATATTCAGCCTTTTTTTTTTTATTATTTTGGTGTTAATTGAGCACCCCTCCAGGACTCTGCTGTTTTCAGATTGGATTTTTCTCAAGGAGATCCTTTGGCAGGCCTCACACAGTGGCCCTGTTTCCCATTAAAAAGCCATTCTGCCGTGGTTCTTCTGGGAGCCCTGCGAGTAAATATATCCATTTCCATAGAAAGTGTTTTGTTTTGGAGCTTTAGTGTTTTCTTGGGCTCCTCTGCTCTAGCTTACCTCAGGTAGGGTTCCTCTCCGATGCGTGCTAGCCCCCCACCCCAACCCCTCCACCACTTCCCTACATGGACCCTTTAATAGAGAACACAAACAGAACCTGAAACCCACTCACGTCTCACTGTGGACACAGCATTTCCAGATGGAGGCTGCAAAACACCAAATTAGTTCACTGGCCTTTTCAGAAGCGATGTTTGAGGCTGTGAGCGCCTTATGTGGCCACAGAGGGGAGCGCCGATTCAGAACAGAACACGCTTCAATTAAACAACAGACTTGCGCTGCTAGCTACTTTCTGATCCCTGATTTCTGTGAAGGTTTGATCTACTGCTATCCATCTGATACATATTGGATTTCTCCAAGAAAAGCTTCAATATCAGAAGGTAGATGACCCACTGGTTGGAAACTGAAAAAGATGAAACTGTGCAACTTTGCTGTAATAAATTCAGCCTTCTTGTTATCTGATGAAAGTCTAGTTCTACATTATGGTCTGAGTTAACCACAATCCAGGGGAGGGATATTTGAAAGGCTTCACAATAGTGACGCATCAACACCCACACCTCTGGTCTCTTTTAAGGACTATGTCCATTTTGTTTAACAAGAGCAGGAAATAGATGCCAGCAATAAGAAGGCTTTTTCATTAGATGCGTATTCATTGCAAATGTGCCTAAAACTAAGCTCTGCATCCGCTGCAAGTCCAGCAGGCTCTGTAACAGCTTTTCCCCCCACCACCATCAGACTGCTGAACTGTTGGATTTTTTTTAATTAAATCTGAATCAAGTCACAAATCGAGACTCTGCGTCACACTGATAACTTCATAACAAATAGAACTCAACTCAAAAATGTTTTTCTACTGCATTTTTGAACCATATACATTTCTTTGTTTTTGCAATGCTGTGAACTTCCACATCAATGCGTTTTGCACCATGTTTTTTTCCCACACTTTACATTTGATCACTGCTGCACTTTATGATATGGAAATGTTCCTTATCACCGCTAAGCTACTGCTCATTCACTGTCTGAAAGATGAAAACACAAAATAAAGTTACCATAAAGCTGTCTAACTAAGTTGATATTCTCAACTGTGGTATTTCCATTAAATAAGAAATAAAATGAAAATTGCATATGAATGCATTTGTTAAAGTAAAAGCTCTAAAAACCACATGGCTGTGGCAGATGTAATAGCATCAAGTGCTCCTTGTGCTCATCATTGGTAGCTAAATGTGAAAAATATCCAGTCTACGCACAAATCCATGTATTCTAAACCATCATCATACAACTACTTTTGGTCTTCTTCTTTTTGTTTTAAAAGGCAGTAAGCTCCAGCTGCAGATCATGTGACTCGTGATGTAGAAAAAAGCATTTCCATTACAGTTTTGCCAAGTATTATCATTTTTAATGTGACCAAAAAAACAGCTCAAAAAATTTATCAAATATATATGTTTTGTTCTTTAATTTGCAACTGATTAATTTTTGTAATTAAAATTACGAAAATGAATTTGCATTTTTTTTTTCTTCAAATTTGCAGTATTTATATTTAGGCGGTTATTTTCATGATTAATATTACGAAAGTAAATTTGCACAGCTATTGTCAGGGTGACGTATAACTCTGTATGTCAAAGCTAGCCTACCTCCTTACCTCAGTGATCCTGCGTCACACTTTTTGTTTCATTGTTGAGTTTAGGAAATATCTCTGAGAAGAGATGTTTCCAAAGATTGCTCCTGTAGCAAAACCTCCAGTTCTCAAAAACTGCCGTCCATCATGATTTATAAGTGGCTCTGGGTTTTATATGTCGCTTTATAATTCACAAGTAAGGAGGGAGGTTTGATAGTTATTACTTTGTGGTCCTCTGGATGATGTTTTCTGTTTTTCTTCTGCTTCCAGATGGTGATCTGATGTTCAGCATCTTTGTCATGTTTTAATAATACTTTGATTTGGTTATGCTTAGCCTGTATATTGCATGGCTAGCTCCGCCATCTAATGTGACTCCATCTTGTGTTCACCATAGACTCTCTGCAGCTTTAGACTTCCACCTTTTGCCTCCTTGACATTAATATGATTAGGTTTGACATTTGTAATTCGCGTTACAAAGGTTTCATCGGATAAATCGATCATTTATTATAGAAAATATTTTCAATTTATATAGCTTTTCTCTTTTTCTCTTTTAAGAGAGGTCATCTGTTCGCCACACTGGAGCTTCACTGCAGCCTCATGTTTTAACTTGATATCACTAACCATTCCATGTTTGGTTTTTTGTTGTTTTCTCCTTCCTGTCTCTTACTCCTGCTCTAACAGCTGTGTGTGTCCTTTGCTCTTCTCTCAGGTTTTTAAGTCATGATGCAAGACTCTGGCACTGAAACGACAAGTAATGGAGCAGCCAATCAGAACGGAGGTTCAAACATGGAGGGTGGACCCCGGGAGGGACGTCCCAAAAGTGCCACACCGTCGGTGGACGTGACTGCTGCTGACCTCCTGCACCTCCAGCAGCACCAGGTAGAACCCCTTCTCTTTTCACACCTGTCTGTTCTTCATTAAACCATGTCAACAGCAGGCCCAGGCTGCTGCTTAAAGTGCAGCTTAATAATTAATCCCACCACCAGTACATCCACAACGTAAACACATTATTATTTATGTATATCGAGGCCCTTTCTGAATATTTTAAGAAGAGGAAGTGCTCTTTCTGTGTGACTGTGTTTATGCTTGCTTTGGGCATCTGCATTCTGATCAAATATTTATTGTCATGTTCAGACATATTTTAAGTATGTAGGTGCTACAAGATTCTGCAGACAGTTATGAAACGATTATATCCAATAGGATAGCAGCCTTTTCCTCCTTGCTCGTTGTAAACAAGCCTCGCACTCAAACACTGAGGTGTGGAGACCCACAGCGTGGTTGAAGCTGAGATGTTCTTACCGTGGCAGACTTGAGACAAACAGACAAGCTCTTTCTGTTGGTGTCAGCGTTATATGTGGCACACGACAGTGCGTTTAAGGAAACAGCACTGAAAAGATCAGCGTGTCTTCTGCTATCTCGGTCTATCCGACAGAACTACTGGGGTTGTTGTCAGGAGCTGTTTGGTGATGACGCCCGGGCTCTCTGCTGTTGTCTGTTGTCACAGAGCATCCATCAGTGTGTGTGTGGGGAGAAACGGCCCCACAACTCCGAACAGAAGGGGGAAATGGCTATGCTGGATACACAGCAGAGCCAGGACTCTTGTTTATCTAGGTACAGTCGAAAGATTTGGGTATTTTGATGATAGTAAATATAGCTTACTTCGGCTTACTGCCACCTCTCAGAAATATAGAGATAAATTCATTTTTATTGCAGCAGCATAATCTCTCAATGAATGTGTGAATAATAATTTGAAGATTAATTTCAGTAGATTTGTGTTGTGGGGAAAGCATCATATGATAAAGAAAAATTTCAGCCAAGACCAGTTTTAGCTTGCTGGTAATTAAAAGCTTGGATATCAAACAGTTGATGACAACACCATGGCTTCAAAGATCCTCCACCTTATTGAATAGTTGGTATTAGGTTCATTTTCATATATTTAATTTTTTATGCCATGCTAAATGCTCCTGTTTTATTGCTTAAAAGCTCAGCTGTGTTGCCTCTGTAGAATTCGCAGTCAAAGCTGATCAAACTCCAAACGTAAACCTTGTGGCGGCAGGACAGAAGCCTCACATGTGACACAGAGCCCAATGGACTATTCAGCAGGGAGGGACAGTCTTTGTGAACATCACCAATGGTATGGTCTTCTTCCTCTTTTGGATCTACATCATAGTTGGTCTTCGTCCTCTTTTGGATCTACATCATAGCCCCCTTTAGATCATTTTCTAATTCACTTACATCGTCTGGGCCTGGTCTCCTTATTAACGTAACAAACTGTTTATGTGAACTGATCAGACATATGCAGAGTCTGTAGAAGTCAAACAATCAGTGTGTTTTTACCTTATTACTCTGGTCCTGAGTGAAAGTGTTTCCCTGTCAATCAAGTTCTCTGACTTTGAGCAGGCGACATATTGTAGTAAGTTTGGGCCAATGTGTCTGCGACTTCTTCGTCTTAGACCGTCAAAACCCCTGGATCCCCCTGATCTCCCCCTCATACCCACTTAGATCCCAGTTCCTGATCCCACCTCCCACCTACCGTTTTTCCAGCTCAGCGTGAGCATGTCCTCAGTGAGAAAAGCAAAACCAGACTGAATTCATTACTGCAGTAGTCACACAAAACCATGGATAAAATTTCAATAACTGCCGGCCGCAGTTGAGTAAACAGTTGCACTGAAACCTAATTCCTGTTGACTTTTCCCTCATTCTTTTCCAGAGGCACCTTCTAATTCACTCCGTAAAGACAATGGGGTTGCAAGTTTGATAACTGTGAGCTTGGGAAGTTGCACAGATGTGCACTTGACTCAAAGATTGAATCCAAGAGAGAATGAAGGAAAGAATAATCGCCATTTGTCTCAGAATGCTGCTAGTTGTTTAGCGGTTCAGTGTTTAGGGAAAATAAAAACCTCTTTTTTAGGTAAAGTAATGCATTTTAGCCAGCAGGGGTCTCATCAGATGGAGGTCTGCCTTAAGCAGTGTACTAAACAAAGCCAATTTTAATGTCCCTGGATTAGAAGGTGTGTTCCTGGAGGGATACTCTTGAAGTAAGACCGGTAGAATTTTGTTGTTGGCTGACGGAGTCAACAACCGTCTTTGAAAAGCTTTAGGACTCTTAAAGCATGAATGTGGCAGTAGGTACAAATAATTTGTAAGCCCCGTGAGAAACACCAATGGTCAACAGCGGATGTTGTTTAGTTTCCTTTCGTTGCTAAATGGCGATTTATTTAAAATTTATATTACAGGAAAGCCTTATTTCTCATTTAGCATTTTCAGTCATTTTATCGATATCAGGAACTGAAAGATCAATATTATATCGGGGAGCCAAAAAAAATCCACACATTTATACATTTAAATAATAGTAAATTTATATATGGAGTGTCTCTTTGAAAATTGGATCCGTGTTCAGTGAATGGTTCTGGCCATGCTAAGGCAGTATAAATGCTCTCATGGATATTAAATTATGTGAATTTGCTGCAGAATTTACAGCTCAGCGGAGGGTTCGGCAACCCAAACTGCTCAAAGAGTCATATTGGACCAAAAACCCAAAATAATAAATCTGTCTGTGGCCTCAAAAATGTAAAAGTCTTATATACAGTATGCCTCATATGTCAACAGGGCTCTAGGTGTATTATCCCACTATAGAAAAGGACAATGTGGGCCCAAATATATAATAAGCATTCATGATTAAATGTTTATCCTGCAGCAAATGTCACATAGTAGCATGAGGTGAGGGAGGAGCAGTGAACACTTCTTAAGTTTTGTTGCATTTATGAAATTATAGAAACACGATAAAGGAATGTTTCTATGGTGGACGTGTTTCTGTTCTGGAGTTGTTGATTGAGTCATGAGGAACCAAGCATGAACTGACATCCATCAGAGCAGAGCTCTCGAATCCTGAATTCCGACATCCTCCGTCGCCATCGTTCCTTTGTGTGATTTATATTTTTAGGATTTGGGGGAAAAAATGGAAGAATGTTCCCATCCCTGCATCAGAGCGCTACCTGTTTGATCTGTGCACGGTTTTCTTCCTTGCAACAAAACTAGCAGCAGTAGTGGAGTTTGGAGATGCAATCCAATTCTCAAATCTGTCTTTGCACTCCTCTAATTTATCCAGAAGTTCTGCAATCACATTTTTCTCTCTTTCCCAACTTGGCGGTCGGCTGCATTTAGCTTGACTTCCCTGGAAATGCCTTTCCAAATTTTTATTTTTTGACAAACTCTCGATACAAAGCGAAACTGCAGGCAATCCTTCCGCATTGATAATGAAAGCAAATGTTTCGGTCCATTCTCTGAATCCTCTTTTCTAATCAGCTATCTTCCTTTTTTCCCTTTGGGATTCATGGTCCAAGACACACTTGCAACTTAATTTGCCTGGCACAGCGCCGTGCTGGTTCCAAGTTGTAACCACTGATCTCTATGGCTATGACGCAAATTATTGTTTACATTTATTTATTATACAAATGTTTACAGCATTGGAAAACATAATTAATTTTTATTTAACCGCCTGCATATTAAAGAAAAAAGAAAAAAAAAATCATACATTTTTTAAAAAGCTCCAGGGAGCCACAAGAGGGACCCTAAAGAGCCGCGGGTTGCCGACTCCCAGCTGAGCGGAATGGGGCAAAGCTGGATGTTGTGTAAATTAGTGGTAAAACTCCAATAAAATATTTGGACTCTCTTTGTCCTTCCACCTCAATCCTTCTAAAACTTTGAACCCCATGTGATAATCTCTAGTTCAAGGAGCACAATGCTTCAAAAGGGATGATTAATCACTGAATGGATGTCCTTTTAAGAACAGTTATACATTATAAAAGCTTTTTTTCTGAGAGCATAGAACCTTGGGGTGTTTCATTTTCTCCAAAATGCTCCCAAAATCTTGTCTCATCTGGATGTATCTGCCACACTGCTCGCGGTCACATTTTCTCTCCTCTAATTTCTTCTTTTACATCAAGAACAAATCTAACGGTTAATTTCTTTGGCCTGGATTTGAAATAACGGGAGGTGTATTAATTGCATGGGTTGATAAATGACATTGATGGAGACAAAAGACGAGACGTCTCACTCTCTGCCCCTGCCACTAGACTTGGATAGCTACTTTAACAAGCTGCTGCTAGCTGGCAACCCAAGCAGACAGTCAGTGTTTCTATCTGCGTGTTTGACTTCTGCAGTATTTTCATTCATGCACAATGAACCGTGCTAATTGTCCTCAGGGAACTACGATCCTTTCGCAATCACTTGATAACTTTCCACTTCTGTGGCAATTCTTTCAAGTTTTATTTTTGGTCTGCTCTCATTCACCTTTAACTGACACAAAGAGACTTTTTTTCGTCTTTGTTCTCCACAAAACATCCAAGCGTGGTGCAAAAAATCAATCTGGACCCTTTCTGGATACGTCTGAGAATCCCTTGAGTAAGTGGGAACAACAAACCTGGCTGTGGCATATAATTTATTCTTATTAGAGAACATAACTATGAAAGACAGTCCTCATTAATAAAGATGGGGGATGAAATAATTGTAATCTGTTTGATCATCTTGATTCTGACAGGGGAATTCATCTTGTGGACTAGTCAGATTTGGGGGAAGTGGACCATAAGCTTGATATAAGCGTCTTTATTAGGAAGTCAAATACTGTTTGTTAAGAACGAGGAGAGAGAAAAAAAGTGTTCACCCCCCCCTCAGACACTGTTGAAATGAGGCCGATTTCACAGTAAAAGGAACTCTGTGTGTTATCGTTTGTTTTGTAATGCTTTGAGCTTTCAGTGTACTTATAAATATTTTCATGCATCTTGGTATTATTTTTAATATTACACAAAGTTTCTGCAGCCGTCTCCTTTTTTCAGATGACAGTTAACCGCAGCTTTTTTGTAACCAACGCCTGCCACAGA